TTTTTTTTTTTTTTTGCGGTGCTGGGGTTTGAACTCAGGGTCTACACCTTGAGCCACTCCACCAACCCTTTTTTGTGATGGTTTTTTTCAAGATAGGGTCTTAAAAACTATTTGGCCTGGGCTGGCTTTGAACCACGATCCTTCTGATCTCTGCCTCCTGAGTAGCTAGGATTACAGAAGTGAGATACAAGCACCCAGCTTTCACACCTGATTTTTGACAAAGGCACCCAAAACACGATGGAGAAAAGACAGCCTCTTCAAAAAATGTTTCTGGGAAAACTGGATATCTGCATACAGAAAACTGAAACTAGACCCATGTCTTTCACCCTGTATAAATATCAACTGAAAGCTGGGGAGCTTTTTAATTAAAGTATTCTCCTTGATGTGTCTTTTTTAGATGGGAAAGCTGACAACCATGCCTGCAGGTCTGATACATGCCTCTCTAAATTTACATGTGGCAAAAGAAGAGGGATCCAAAAATCAAATAATGAGACCAGAGCAGGTAATTTACCTATAAAAGTTTATAAACTTTATATAATGTAAAGATAATGCAAAAGGTATGTGTTGGGTTTTTTAGTTATCTCTATTTATCAAAAAGTGCCTTTGAATTCTCAAGTACATTTTATAAATGGAAAGAAATAGTTATGAAGCATCTAGTTCTAATCAGTGTGACTTTTCTCTGGAAAAAATATACAGATATACCCAATATTAAGAAATCTCTGCCTAAGAAAATAATTAAGATTTCAGTTTTGGGAAGTGACCTTAGATGTTTTCTAGTTTAGTCTTCTATATGTACTATAATCCCCTCTACAGTAGGCACACTCAAATGCACAACTCTCACAAATTTTTGGAAATTTCAAGTATTTTGTGTTTTGCTCTTATAATTAATTCTTCAAACACCCTGCACATAAATCTTTTTTTGCATGGTAGCATGAATTTCTAGAAGCAGAATTGTAGGTCAGATGGCACAAAAAATTGGTATTCTGACACACTAACATGCAAAATTGTGATATTCATACTTGCTTTTTTGCGGTACTTGGGTTTGAACTCAGGGCCTAAACCTTGAGCCACTTCACCAGCCCTTTTTTGTGATTGGTTTTCTCGAAATAGGGTCTTACAAACCATTTGCCCTAGCTGGCTTTGAACCACAATCCTTCCGATCTCTGCCTCCTGTAGTACCTAGAATTACAGACAGCTGTGAGGTATTTGATAAACAAAAAACCCTATTTTCTGATCTCTCCTGTAGGTGTATGAGGCACCATTCTAAATGCTGGGTAAAGTTTTATTAACTTTCATTAGCAAACTATGATAGATTCACTTCTCTACATACTTGCTAACTCTAGGTGTTCTTCTTGTTAATCTTAGAAGGATGATTTTTTTTTAGGATGATATTTTTAAGTCTTCATTCACACTTCTGTATTTGGGTAGCCCAAAATCTACGTAGCAAAATACTTACCTTTTTTTCCCCCAATAGCTGAATTCACATAGGTTTTGAATTTTAAAATAAATTCATGTGTTTTTATGTAATGCACAGGTTTCCTTGGTAATTATTCTATTTTCCAATACATTTTAGTTAGAATTTAATTGGATTACTTACGAAACAAAGTTTGTTGCCAGTCAGCTATTTGAGTAGGGACTATTCACAAGTAAGGATCTAATCTTAAGGAATTTAGAATTTCCAAAGTATGAAAATGTGATTAAATGCAGCATTTCCAGGTACTTTAATGGTATAAAGTGAGCTGTGTACATTTAAATTTGTTTGCAATAAAACCTCTACTAAACCAGAACATATTATGAATGAGGTGCTCAGGTTATCAGAATCTTTTGGATAAGCTTGTAGTTAACAACAAAGTTCTTTTTTACTTCAACTCTTCTTGTAAACATCATTATTAAAGATATCAATATGACTCGGGGCATGGCTTAAGTGGTAGAGTGCTTGCCTAGCAAGCATGGGGCCTGAGTTTCACAAAAAATTACCAGTACGATCCTGCCTTTTTAAGTGA